GTTTCCGAGGCAGTATCACTACGGAAGTAGGATTGCCCAACCTTCCTTCCGAGATAGGATTTATATTTCCAATACCAAGACTACACCTGTAGTAATTGAAAATGTGGTATTGGCACAAGAATAGACAGATTCATGGACCAGAATCCAGCGTGGGAGAGATGTATTTCAATAAATAGTGCTGGATCATTTGATATCTATATGGAATAATAGCATTTTCTGTGCATAAAAATAAATTCCAGATGAATAGACATAAATATAATTGGTAAAAATAATAAAGTTATCAATAGGACAAAAAGGAATAAGATGAATTTTTTTTAATGGTAAGGAAATAATAAAGATTGAGTAGCTATTATATTAGTAAATGCAATTGAAAATAAAGCTTTATGAAATCCTTTTACTAAATTTCCTACTAAAGAAGACAGAGAAGGGAATATGTTGTATAATTCCATTTATACTTTGGTTCAGAAATGAGAATGCTATCAATAGTGATAGGACTTTACATAATAGTTACTGGGGGCTGGGAACTGGGAATGGATGTTCACTGGCTGCCTTGGGAGAGTGCATTGTGGTCTATGGACCTTTGCACAACCGAGACCCTTTTAGGGATCCATTAGGTCAAAACAGTTTTCACAGTAATACTAAAATATAGTTTGCTTTTTTCTCTTTTATTTGCATTTATACTGATGCAGCAAAAGCAATTATGTGTAAAACTGCTGACACCTTAGCACAAATCAAGGCAATGGCATCCAATTAGTATTTACTATATTCTTTGCTAAGAAGCTGTGGTGCTATAGTAGTTAAGGTATTTGGCTACTGGTCACAAGGTCAGTGGTTCAAACCCACCTGCATGCTCTGCAGAAAAAAATGAGGCTGTTGGGTTCCATGAAGATTTATAGCCTTCGAAACTCAGTGGAGATCACTATGAGTCAAAATTGACTGAATGGCAGTGAGTTTGTTTTTTTGGTATTTTTTTTCCTACCACATACCCTCAGTTAAAAATTTTTTTTAAAAAAAGGTTTTGCATACAAATATCCTTGTGGAGTAGGAAAAATAGCTTTACTAAGTTGTGAGTCTTGGAATATCCATCTTTTTAATATTCTGTGTTTTGAAATAGGAAGTAGGTATGCATAAAGCACTTCCACTACATGCAAAACCACAGTGATTGTCTCAAGGAAAAGCATTTGTTTGATGAATTGGGAGCAGAACTTGCTGCTTTGTCCACAGATCACTGATTTTGTTTGAAAGATCAACTTACAAAAGTTACTGGTATTTGAGTATTTGGCAGATGTTTTCTTGAAAATGGAACAAAGTAAACCTGTCATTTCGAGAAAAACAATTGACACTGTTAACAGTGATAAAATTTGAGCTTTTGAGCAGTACTTAGAACTTTGGAAAACTTGTAGTCACCACAGTGACCCTGATTGCTTCCCATTCTTTAAAGATTTTTCTAATGAGATTTCTGGTGACAAAGTATCATTTTTAAAAATTTACATAATGAAATATGTCAGCATTTAGATCTGTGTAACTCAGTAACCAATATTTTCTAAACAACCAGTGCATGATGTTACAAAATGAGATTCCACAGCTAATCTTTTAAGAAATGACCACTTGGTGTGTTTTGGTAGAGAGTCAAAGACGACTACCTATAATTATCTAAAAAGTCAATTAGAATATTCCTTTTTTTTTCCAAATACTTATTTGTGTGACATCGGGTTTTCTCTGTATACTTCCATCCAAACAACATACTGTAACTGATTGAATGCAGAAGCAGATAGGAGATTTCAGCTGTTTTCTATTTAGCCAAAAGTTGATATTTGCAAAAATATCAAAACAGTGATACGTCTAATTTTAATTATTTATTTATTGGGGAATTTTTTTTAATGTTAACATGTTCTAATTTTTATTTATAGATAAATCAGTAAGACTTTTTCTATTTTAATTTCTAATGTGCTAATTATTGAGAGGCATATCAACATAAACCATAGTTCCTTGTCTCCTCAGTCTTTAGGACTATAAAAGGGATTCTGAGACCAAGGTTGAGAACTGCTGTTTTATACTTGAATTGGGGTGCTGACTACATAGGTATTGCTAAAACGGCAAGGAGGCCACATGTTCTGACCTCCTCTAACCCTACAAGGGGAAGGCAGGATTACCAGCAGTAACCCAAGGCCTATTACTGCAAGACCAAACATGCTGCCTCCCTCCAGCCCTTTCACCAATCGTTCCTCCCAAAGCACCCACCACCTCTCTCCTGGGTTCGATAATTCACTGCAGTGGCCACACAGAACTCACAGATTATGGGGTTTATTAGGGAAGCACCAGGCTACAACTCAAGTCCAGGAAGAATGCTCAGTCTCTCTCCCAGCCCACCGTCCCTCAGCCAAGAGTCTCTCACAGTCTCTTTCCCAGCAGTGTCGGTCCCTCGGTGTCTCACTCAGCGATGCGTCTCTCTTGCGGCTCTTTCCCAGCAGCACGTGTCTCTTTCAGGGGTGCGTGTCTCTTTCGGAAGCACGTCTTCCTCCACCAGCAGTCAGAGAGAGTCCTGCCTCCAGGAGGCTCCTTTTGAGCCTGGAAGGGTGGTCAAACTAGCCAATCACAGCATCAGAACTCTAAGCACGTGAGAGAGAGTGGGAACTTCCCAGAACATTGTATTGTGCCACGCCCAACAGAAATAACCCAGGTGGGCGACTTTAAAACCAGGATCTCCTCCGTAGCTAATAGCAATTCCCACCTTAGAGTTTACAAAGACTTACGGGTAGAAAAGCCACACTAAGTAATTTACTACACCGCAGGTATGTTGTTGTTATGTGCTGTGGTGTTGGACTCAACTCATAGTTCCCCCTCCTTGGGTTTCCGAGGTGGTATCACTATGGAAGTAGGTTGCCCAACCTTCCTTCCGAGGAGTGGCTGGTGGGTTTGAACCGCCAACCTTCTGGTTAGCAGTGAAGTGCCTTAGGCACTATGCTACATAGGTATACTTGCTTTGTAACAAATAAAATACTCATTTCTGTACTTTATTTTTTCTACATGTTATGTTTTAATTAAAAAATGTTTATCTGCCTCCAAATAAAATAAGAGGAAATTGGCTAGGATTGTAGAGAGTATTTCTGGCTTGAATGATAGGAGAGAATGAGCAGCCAAGAAAAGGACAATGGATGCTTGTAATTTGTTGATATTGTGGTGTTTTATAGTTTTTAAAAATTATTCATGTGAATCCATAAGATGATTTTTATGAAATTTTTGTTGGACATGTTTACCAGAAGAATCTTTGCCAGACTTTTTTTTTTAATTTGGTCTTATTTTTTTAATACTCTTTTACTGTATGTATTATCTAAACTAAAAAAAAAAAAAAAAACACTGCCATCGAGTCAATTCTGACTCATAGCAACCCCCTTTGAGTTTCAGTAAATCTTCACAGAAGTAGATTGTCCAGTCTTCCTTCCATGGAGTGGCTGGTGGGTGTGAACTGCCAACCTTGTGGTTAGCAGTCAAATGCCCTAGGCACTACAAGACACGTATAATTGTTGTGTCTGATGTGAATGTGAGACAGTTTGGTTTTGTCTTAAATACAGGTTCATATATGCCTAGTTTTCCATGTGTCCTGTCACCTGGCAAAAGCATGATCACATTTTCAGCACAGAGGGAAGCATGGTGTGATAGCTCAGTTGTTAACTAAATCGAGCAAGTATTTATTAACTATATACTGAGCAGAAAGAACTATGCAGTTTGTGGTTACTTGTTGAGGACTCAGAAGTTCTGGTGGTGCAGTGGTTAAAGCATTTGGCTGTTACCCAGAGGTCAGCAGTTCAAACCCATCAGCTGCTCCATTGGAGAAAGATGAGGCAGTCTTTCCATAAGATTTACATTACAGCCTTGGGCAATTCTCCTCTTCCCTATAGGGTTGCAGTGAGTCAAAATTGACTCAGTGGCAGTGGGTTTGGTTAGTTTGTATTGGGACTCAAGCTAACAGTCAAACAAAACCAGAACCAAACTCACTGCCATCGATTCGACTCAACTCACAGCAACTCCTCCTTGGATTTCCGAGGCACTATCTCTGTGGAAGTAGATTGCCCCATCTTCCTTCCGAGGAGTGGCTGGTGGGTTTGAACTGCCGTCCTTCTAGTTAGCAGTCAAATGCCTTAGGCACTATGCCACCAGAGCTCCTAGTAGGAGATGAAATTTTGCTAAAAATTAGCTAGACCATAAAACCAAAGTCTCTCATGGAGGAGGACTACAGAAGGTAAAGTTGGTAGTAGCATCTGAACAGAACATTGAAAGATAGTTAGGGTAGTTCTTTTTAAAAATACCTTTTTTTTCCCTTTCTAATTACAAAGTAATGGTGCTTATAGTAAACACAGTCAAACATTGTAAAAATATATACTGTCACTGGTGACCCAACCCCTTGCCACTTAATCATTGTTAACATTTTGATATATAGCTCTTTACATCTGAAACATATATTCATAATATTGTTACTTTAAAATTTTGGGTTACATATGTGATTTTGCAAATGTGTTAGATAGTTGCATTCCTAATTTTTAATATTCTAAACACTATGATATGTAAAGTTGTTCAGAAATACCTAGTTTGTTTTTGTTTGTGTCCTTTTTTCTGAAGTCTAAGATTTTGATAAGACAGTATATCAGTTTTGCTTAAGGGTTGAGGGAAAACAAATTTATGCATTCTAGAAATTTTAACAGTAAAAATCTACCGTTACCTCTACTCATTATGTGTTAATGGACTCATTATACCTGATAGTAAATTGAGTTTATGTACCTCCAGATATAGGATATGAGAGTGTTGAGAAAGTTATTTCAAGATGAACATTGAGGCATGAAATAGGGTGAGCCTCATAGGAAAGACCACTAATGTTTTTGTCTTCCTGCCATATGCCAGCTCAGTTTTTCTTTCTTTTTTTTTTTTTCCAGTAGAGTTGCTTAAAAAAGTATTCACAGTTGGTACTATTTATTCAATATTTTTTTGTTTTTAATTCACTCTAGGTAACATTGTACAACACTGATCAAGATGGCAGTGATAGCCCACGCAGTAGCCTTAACAACAGTCTCTCAGACCAGAGTTTGGCATCTGTTAATTTGAACAGTGTTGGAAGTGTGCATAGTTATACACCGGTAAGTCTTGGTGAAGTTAGCTTCATTGTTAAGTACTCACTTTGCGCTTAAAACTCTAAACTGCATGTAATTGAAATGTAAATAAAAAGTGAAGATGTATATTTCTCAAGTAATTCGTTCATTAACTTAGGTAAATACATTCAGGCTTAAGTAGAGCAGACTTCTACCTTGATAGTGTTTTGAGTACTTAAATTTTACCAAGTAGGATACGAATATATGGTTATCCTGTATTATGTTTTTGTATGTTTTACTCCATCTGTTCCATGTTAAAATGATAAGCAACTGAAATAGAAAAAGTATATATACTTCAGTCTAGCAGAGATACGTTTGATGATTTTGTAGTTCTTGGAAAAAAGAGCCTAGAGCATATATATATATGTGTGTGTGTGTGTGTGTGTATAAACTTAATTTCCAGCTGTTGATTTGAGAAAGGGATTCTATAGACTCCAAAGATTAGGATAGACTGGTATCCAGTTGGTAAATAGTATACATTTTCAGTGTTGGTTTGGAAACTAAAGGTATGCTATAATAAAGATCCCTGAGTGTATTCTTCCAATATTATGTTTATTTGTTCCCTGATCACAAGCCCATAATTCTTGGGTTCTCTGATACTTCTTTTCCAACCATCTGGCAACTCATGATATAAAAAGACTACTTGGAGTATTAAAGTAAACTAAGCACCCGGAGGGGTGAGTCAGGTGCAGAGGTGTTTGGAAGCAGCTTTAAAAGGGGCCCGGAAAGGTGAGCCAGGTGTGGGGGTCTTGGAGCAGCATTAAGGGAGGCCAGGAAGTGAGCGGAGCGGTTTGGAACATTTAAGGGAGACAAAATTATCTGTCAGTTTGTCGTCCTGTGGTGGCTTATGTGTTGGTATAAATCTGGTGGCTATGCCTCTGGTGTTGCACCTGCCAGCAGAATTACCCATGGTGGATAGGTTTTAGTGGAGCTTCCAGACTAAGACAGAGTTGGAAGAAGGAAGGGACCATCTACTTCTCAAAGAACTGGACAATGAAAACCTTATGAATAGCAGTGAAACACTGTCTGAAATATTACTAGAAAATTTTATGACTAGCCCTGAAACATTGTCCAATGTAGTGCCAGAAGATAAGCCCCTCAGGTCGGAAGGCATTCAAAATATGACTCGGGAAGAGCTGCCTCCTCAGAGTAGAGCTGACCTTAATGATATGGATGGAATAAAGCTTTCAGGACTTCCAGTTGCTGATGTGGCATGACTCAGAGAAGAAACAGCTGCAAACATCCATTAATAATTGAAACATGGAATGTATGAAGTATGAATCTAGGAAAATTGAAAGTTGTCAAAAATGAAATAGAATGCATAAAGATGGGTATCCTAGGCATTAGTGAGCTGAAGTGTTCTGGTTTTGGCCATTTTGAATCAGACAACCAAATGCTCTATTATGCCAGGAATGACAAATTGAAGAGGAATGGTGTGGCAGTCACTGTCACAAAGACTGTTTTAAGATCTGAAGTATATCGCTGTCAGTGATAGGATGGATAATATCCATACGCCTGCAAGGAAGACCAGTTAATACTACTTTTATCCAAATCTATGTACCAACCACCAAAGCCAAAGATAAGGAAATTGAAGATTTGTACCAACACTGCAGTCTGAAATTGCTCAAACATGCAGTTAAGATATGTTGGTTATCACTGGTGATTGATTGGAATGCAAAAGTTGGAAACAGAGGAATTACCAGTAGTTGGAAAATATGGTCCTGGTGATAAAAATAATGCTGGAGAATGAGTGATAGAATTTTGCATGACCAACAACTTATTCATTGCAAATACCTTTTTCAGCAACACAAACGGCAGTTATACATGTGGACTTCGCCCCATGGAGTACACAGGAATCAGATTGATTACATTTGTGGCAAGAGGTGATAGAAAAGCTCAATATCATTAGCTTAAACAAGGCCAGGAGCTGATTGGGGAACAGACCATCAACTTCTCATATGCAAGTTCAAATTGAAGTTGAGCACAATTAAAACAAGTCCACAAGAGCCAAAATATGACCTTGATTCTATCCCTCTTGAATTTAAAAAGCATCTAAAGAGTAGATTTGAGGCAGTGAACACCAGTGACTGAAAACCAGAGGAATTGTGGGATGACATCAAGAACATCATCCATGAAGAAAGCAAAAGTTCCTTAGAAAGGCGAGAAAGGAAGAAAAGACCAAAATGGATGTCAGAAGAGACTCTGAAATTTGCCCTTGAACGGAGAGTAGCTAAAGTAAATGGAAGAAATGACAAGATTAAAGAGCTGAACAAAAGATTTCAAAGAGCAGCTTGAGAAGACAGAGTCCGTTATTATAATGAAATGGTGCAAAGACCTTGAGTTAGAAAACCAAAGGGGAAGAACATGGTCGGCATTTCTCAAGTTGAAAGAACTGAAGAAAAAATTTAAGCCTTGAGTTGCCATATTGAAAGATTATATGGGCAAAATTTTTGATTGATGCAGGAAACATCCAAAGAAGGTGGAAGTAATACACACACTGTACCAAAAAGAATTGGTCGATGTTCATCCATTTCAGGAGGTGGCAATACCAATGGTATTGAAAGAAGTCAGGGTTGCACTGAAGAAATTGGTGAAGAACAAGGCTCCAAGAATTGACAGAATACCCATTGAGATGCTTCAACAAACAGATGCTGCACTGCAGGCACTCACTCAGTTATGCCAACAGATTTGGAAGACAGCTTCATGGCCAGCTGACTAGAAGAGATCCTTATTTGTTCCCATTCCAAAGAAAGGTGATCCCACAGAATGTGGAAATTATCGAACAGTATCATTAATTTCACATGCAAGTAAAATCTTACTGAAGATAATTAAAAAATGGTTGCAGTGATATGTTGGCAGAGAACTTCCAGAAATGCAGGCTGGATTCAGAAGAGGATGTGGAATGAGGGATATCATAGCTGATGTCAGATGGACCTTAACTGAAAGCAAAGAGTACCACAAAGATGTTTACTTGTGTTTTACTGACTATGCAAAAGCATTTGATTGTGTGGCTCATAACAGATTATAGATAGCATTAAGAAGAATGGGAATTTCAGAACATTTGATTGTACTCATGAGGAAACTGTGCATAGGTCAGAAGACTGTCTTTCATATAGAACAAGGGGGACACTGCATGCTTTAAAATCAAGCAGGGAGTACGTCAGGGTTGTATCTTTTCACCATACTTATTCAATCTGTATGCTGAGAAAATAATCTGAGAATCCGGACTATATGAAGAAGAATACGGCATCAAGATTGGAGGAAGAGTCATTAACAACCTGCAATACACAGACGACAGAACTTTGCTTGCTGAAAGTGAGGATGACTTGAAGCATTTACTGATGAAGATTGAAGACTATAGTGTGCAGTATGGATTACACCTCAATATAAAGAAAACAAAATTCCTCACAAGTGGACCAGTAAACAGCATCACAATCAATGGAGAAAAAATTGAAGTTGCCAAAGACTTCATATTACTTGGCTCTACAACCAATACCAATGGAAGCAGCAGTCAAGACATCAGATGATGTATTGCATTGGGCAAATCTGCTGCAAAAGACCTCTTTCAAGTGCTGAAAAGCAAAGATGTCTCCTTGAAGACCAAGGTGCACCTAACCCAAGCCATGTTATTTTCAGTTCCCTCATACGCATGTGAGAGCTGGACAATGAATAAGGAAGACTGAAGAGGAGTTGATGCTTTCGAGTTGTGGTGTTGGCAAAGAATACTAAGAGTACCATGGACTGCTAAAAGGACTAACAGATTTGTCCTGGAAGAAGTGCACCCAGAATGCTCCTTGGAAGCAAGAATGACCAACTTCGTCTCACCTACTTTGGTTACGTTGTCAGAAGGAACCATTCCTTGGAGAAAGATATCATGCTTGGTAAAATGGAGGGTCAGTGAAGAAAGGGAAGGCCTTCAACAAGACGGATTGACACAGTGGCTGCAATGATGGGCTCAGGTCTAGCAGGGATCATGAGACTGGCAGAGGACTGGGCAATGTTTCATTTTGCTGTGCATGGAGTCACTGTGAGTTGAAAATGACTTGATGGCACCTGACAGCAAACAACAGTTGTTTATAAAATAATTTCAATGGAAAAAATCTTAACCATAAGAAACTAAAGAACTCAGGAACTCACCCAGTGGAGTTTAGTGTCACCAAATATAGTAAAAGGAAAAGTAAAGATAAGTTTATAGAACTAGGTGATAGAATGAAAACAAACATGTCTACTATGTCCAATGTGAGAGGGTTAAATGCCTCTCTTAAAAGCTTGAGATAATGTAGACTCCTTCCCCACCCCCCCACACTTTAAAAGATGTCTAGCAGTCAGTGAGTCCTTAAGCAACAGCATGGTGGCAGCTACTGGTTGGATTTGTCACACTTCTATAAATTTGGTCTGTAAGGGCACAGCCCAAATGGATTGAGACAGCCTAAGTCAGATCAGCATAATATCAGTTCACCATTTCCCACAGGGAAACACCAGACTAGAGGGGCCAGATGACAGACTTCATGAGTGAGAGGTTGCTCTGTAACGGAGCCATAAATTCTATATCGTATCTAAGCAGTTTTATAATCTTTACCCTAAGGAGAGTGGGAGAAAGCCCCGTGTCTCAGTGGAACAGAAGAGACAGATGTCTTTTTCCCATAGAACACTAGGCAGCCTCTCCTGTAAGATATATGGCTGAGAAACTGCTCCGTGGCCACCTCTTACAAGGTTGGGAGGCAGGTGAGAAGTAGCAGATGAGAATTTGCTTCTCATAAGACTTCCTGTCATCTCATGCTCTGGATTAATCAAGGGTATTCTGCCAAGGCCTAGGTCAGCCTTCTATTGAGCCTTATCTATGAGGCCTGTGTGGAGACTTACGAGGTCACTAGGTGCCATGTGGAGTTGTTCCCCTATAAAAATTCTTATTTTTTCATGTTATTGCAGGCAGCTTGTGAGCATCATTTTAAATGGATGTATAAATGTCCAGTGTGTGTACCTTAATTTTTGAAAGCACTAACCAAATACTTTCTTTAAAAAATATAATTGATCTTCTTTTATTTATTGTATTTTTAGTTATACTGTCTTCAATGATAATTCTTATTTTTTTAGGTGTTTGTAGTGCCTTTATTTATTTATTTATTTATTTATTTATTTCCTTCATAGTTCAAACCCCTGGTTTATTCTGCTTTTCAGAATTTCCTTTGTTTTTTACCACTTAACTTCTCCTCAATTTCTTCTCTCCCCCCTTTCCTCCTCTCCTCCTCCCTCTCTCTCCCTTTTCCCCTCCCCCTCTCCCTCCCTCCCTCTTTCACGCTCTCTCTCACTTCTCCTAGAAAGGAAGTTAGGTGTATAAAGCTCATTGCTGCTTTGGTTGGGCAATGCCACAGAACCTGACTTACAGTACTCAAAATATTTGAGTTTAAATACTTAATGATTAAATGAATAAATGAATGAGTATTGTTACTAGTCATAATATAGTAGAATTTGAGATGAAATTGTTTCCACAGAAACTAAGATAAAGATTGAAGAAAACTGGAAGGGTTCTAGGTTTAGCTAATCACTTTTTGTATGATATTTTGTTGTTGTTGTTATGTGCCATCGAGTCGGACCCGACTCATAGCGACCCCTCCTTGGGTTTCCGAGGCGGTATCACTACAGAAGTAGATTGCTCAACCTTTCTTCCGAGGAGTGGCTGGGGGTTTGAACTGCCAGCCTCCTGGTTAGCAGTCAAATGCCTTATTAGGCAAGTCATTTAATTTCTTTGAATTCTTTCTCCTCCTCTGTGACATATGGAGAGGTTGGATTAGTTTTTTATTTTTCCTCAAGCTCTAAGTTAACAGTTTTGTGGTCTGTCCTTTTATGTGTACCAAAACATAACCGAATGTGGGAAAACAAAGACAAGGAAGTATTTCCTTTGGATTCCAGTGTTTGCACTAGTGTTTTCAATTACATGTTTTGTGCAACAAACTAATTCTGACATAGAGCCACTGAATCGATAGTGTTTTCTTTCAATGTTAGGTGACCAACCATCCAGAACCAGTCTCTCAGTCAATAACTCCTCAGCAGCAGCCGCAGTACAACCTGCCAGAACGAGACAAACAACTTCTTTTCTCAGAATACAATTTTGAAGATCTCAGTGCCTCATTTCGGAGCCTTTATAAGTCAGTCTTCGAGCAGTCACTTAGTCAACAAGGTGAGCTTTTTATTGAAAAGTTTTTGTCTTTTAACAATTATTTTCACAGAGCAACTGTTGTTAGAGAATTACCATAATCAGGATTGAATAATTATGCCCTTTGTGTCTTCATTATTTTATGTATAAAATATATTATTTACATCATAGCACAAGAATGGCAGATACTTTTCATCTTGCATGGCTGCTTTACTTAATTATTAGTGATGACATGGAGCATTGTGTTGCTGACACTGCATCTATGCCACGTGGAATAGGTGGTTGCAGAATAGGTGGTTGTGTATTATTGCATCTCAGCCAGATGCTATGTTGTTGCTATAATGTGTTAGTGTTCTATTAGCTGTTGGTTTACTAATTTATGTTAGAGTTATGTGATTGAGTCAAACTATCACATTGTCTGTCCCCTATAGAAAACTAGTCAGGAATTATTGGAAACTCTACTACTGAAGTATTTCCTAGTTACTTTGTTTGGCAGATGAGCTATATATACTCCAACTCAGAGAGTATACCTATAGTTTGCTATTGTAATGAATGCTACAGCTTTCTAATCCCTGTCCTTAAGGAGTCTACATGTTAATAATTTTCATTGCAAGGTATTATGAAAGTTAATGTTGTATATGAATGTTACATACATTTTACACATTTTATATGTGTGTGTGTGAGAGAGAGAGAGAGTAGTAGCTAGCTGGTATAGTAGGTAGCTTTTTATGGTTAGTGTTTGAGTTTAAAGCAAGATATATCTATTTTCTCAAATTTTGTCTTTAATTGTCCATCTATAAAATAATAACTAACACAAGACTTTTCTAAGTTCAACTTTAATGACCGTAACAGAAAAATACTAACTTTGAAATAACAATGGCAAGAATTTCTGAAGACCATAATACCATTTCATCACAGTATAATAAAAAGAGCATTTAGGGGGAATTCTCAGTTCGAGTAAGTCAGAGTCACCTGAACTAACTTTTCACCTCTTGGGTTCTCAGCTTCTCTATTAGTAAAATGAAAAGAATTGAAGTAGGTTAGTGGTTTTCAAATTATTCTCTGCAGAGCTCTTGGCTTTTGGGAATTCCAGAACACTGAATTATGCTCATGAGGAACTTGTACATAGACCTGGAAGCTGTTGTTTGAAGGGAATACTGCATGGTTTAAAATCAGGAACAGAGTGCGTCAAGGTTGTATCCTTTCACCATACTTATTCAATCTGTATGCTGAGAAAAGAATCCAAGAAGCTGGACTGTATGAAAAAGAACATAGCATCAGGATTGGAGGAAGACTCATTAACAACCTGCGATATGCAGACAACATAACCTTGCTTGCTGAAAGTGAAGATGACTTGAAGCACTTACTGGTGAAGATTAAAAGCTACAGTTTGCAGTATGAGTTACGTTTTAACATAAAGAAAAGGAAAATTCCCACAACTGGGCCAAATAAGCAGCATCATGATAAATGGAGGAAAGATTGAAGTTGTCAAAGATTTCATATTACTTGGTTCCACCATCGACACCAATGGAAGCAGAAATCAAGAAATCAGATGATGTATTGCACTGTGCAAATCTGCTGCAAAAGACCTCTGTAAAGTGCTGAAGAGCAAAGATGTCTCTTTGAAGACTAAGGTGTCCTTACACAAGCCTTGGTGTTTTCAGTCGCCTCGTGCATGTGAAAGAAAGCTAGACAATGAATAAGGAAGACTGAAGAAGAGAACAGTTGACGCTTTTCAGTTGTGGTGTTGGCAAAGAATAGTGAAAGTACCATAGACTGCCAGAAGAACTAACAAATCTGTCCTGGTAAAAGTGCAGCCAGAATGCTCCCTGGAAGCGAGAATGGCCAGACTTTGTCTCACCTACTTTGGTGATGTTGTCAGAAGGGACTATTCTCTGGTGAAGGATATCATGGTTGGTAAAGTGGAGGGTCGACGAAAAAGGGGAAGGCCCTCAACGAGATGGATTGACACTGTGGCTGCAATGATGGGCTCAAGTATAGCAAGGATTGTGAGGCTGGTGCAGGACTGAGCACTGTTTCATTCTGTTGTACACAAGGTCGCTATGAGTCAGAGCTGACTCAACGGCACCTAACAACAGCAATAGGAGCTTGCTGTGGAGAAGTGTGTGGGTGAAGAGGAAGACCTAGCAGGCTTCTCTCCCTAGCTTCAAAAGTTACTTTATGTTTATCATAACGACTTTATGTTTACATATTTGGCTTCTGAAAGATAATTTTGTTTTACTTAAAAATAATAGGAGATTGAAAATGTTGGTATAGATCCTGTCTGGATTTCCTTTTAAAATGTGAGTTTCCTGGAAATAGATAATGAAGTTACTGTTTTCTTTTATCTTGACTGAAATAACTTTAAAGTGTCCCTGTAAATGAGTTTTCCAGCACCAAGGCAGAACTTACGTCAGTTCTTCTATGTACAAGACATTAACATAATAGATTTTAAAATTATCTTACAGTGCACTCAAATGCAGTTTTAATATTGATGACAAATTTCAGAATAATATTAATATTTGTGAAAAACTTTGATCCTTATACTAATAAGGACTACCATGTGATTTTTGTTTGCTTGTTTTCTTTTGTTATAAATGAAATGCTTGTGTCTGGTTCAGCAAAACAGTGTATGGACCATCTATTAGGATATGAAAATAAGTCTAGTTATATGGAAGCAAATGTTGCAATAAGCTTTATTAAAATGAGCATCTACCTGCAAACCAAACATATGTTATTTTTAACATTAGGCACTTCTGGCCTAATCATCATTATAGCAGCTAACATTTACTGAACTCATTCTGCATCCTGCACTTGCACCATGGCATTTAGTCCTTACAACAACTCTATGAAATAGGTACTATTATTATATTTTTATACCTATTTATAGTTGAGCTAATTGTGGCTCAGAGATTAACTAACTTTTTAAAGTTACATTTTGTGTAAACAGCAGTGCAGAGACTTAAATCCCCTACATTCTGGTGCTGTAAAGTATGCACTCTTCACTTCTAAACTGTACATGTTCTCAGGAGTGTTCCATAGGAGTAATGAAAAGGAACAATGGAGGTGGCTGTTTTGTTTTGCTTAGTCTTAAAGATCCTGGCCCCTTTGTATTGAAAGTTTTTGCAGGAGACAAAAGAACGAGAATAGGAATAATTGGGTTTGAAGCAGCCCTCCTCTTCTGTTAAAGCCTTGCTTTTCAGATCTACAGAAAACCATTCTGAATTTGACCCAACACTTTTCCCACTTTTTTCCTAATATTTACTCATCTTTTAAATACTCAACTCAGATACTATCTTTTCAAGGAAGGCTTCTCTGTCTAGCCCCTTCCTACTGAAAAAGCATGAAGCAAAGTTGTTCCCGTAATCTCCTTTTACTTTTGTCTTAGCATTTATATTGTTGTCTATAATTTTATTAAGGGTGTATCTGTTCCAGTATAGGAAATGATGTTTCTTACTCTTCTTGGTAACCTCATAGCCCATCATATGGTGGATATTCCATAAATACTTGTTAAACAGAAGTAAAGTTGCTTCCTGACAACATATACCTTTGCTTTGTAAGTAATTTTGCATGTATTTACCGTAAAATGCTACTGAAAACTGACCACAAGTGATCTTGCTCTCTCTGTTTTTAGGTTTGATGAACATCCCTTCCGAATCTTCCCAGCAGTCCCACACTTCATGTTCCTATCAGCATTCTCCAAGCAGTACAGTGAGCTCTCACCCACACAGCAACCAAAGCAGTCTGTCCAACAGTCATGGCAGTAGCCTTAACACCACAGGCAGTAATTCAGTTGTACAAGTTTCACTGTCCCACCCACAGATGCACACACAGCCAGCTCCACATCCGCCCCATCGACCACATGGTTTACCACAGCATCCACAGCGTCCCCAGCACCCGTCACCACACCCGCAGCAACATAGCCAGCTCCAGTCCCCTCACTCCCAGCACCCATCTCCGCACCAACACATACAGCATCATCCAAACCATCAGCACCAGACGTTGACACATCAGGCACCCCCACCCCCACAGCAGGTATCCTGTAATTCTGGTAAGTTTTTGTCTCCTCACTTGGGTTTGGCTAATAGTGAATTAGGATCTGTTTTTGGTTTTTTTTGGGGGGGCGGATTTCATGTGGTCTTTATTATCAAAATCCTTCTCATCTGTTTCCTTCTGTGCTTCGTAGCTAACATCCTATAGTTGTAACTCATTCACTCCATAGATTGACCTGGAGATTTCTCATTTAAACTTTATTGTGGCAGCATGAGCACACTAAGCAGTCCTTTCGGGTCTTGGTCTCAGCTCCTGTTTTGTCATATCAGAAGTGTTTTTGTCAGCATTTGAAAGAAGAATGGAATGCACATTCTCTCTACATTCTGTTGAGATAAAATGTGCTATAGAAGAAAGAACATAGATTTATGTCAAAAAGACCTATATTTGAATTCTCAACTGGTGTTTATGACCTTGGGCAAGTTACTTCTTTTAGCCTTCTTGTTTTCTCATCTATAAAAATGGAGTTGAAATATTCTTGCATACAATGTTGCTATGAAGATGGTGTTGAGATGACAAATACAAAATGTCTAAACTAGTACTTTGTGTTTAAGTAGTCAGTAAATGTTCACCCTCTTCCCTTCTTTGCTTATCCCTACCAAATATCTCATCTTAGAATGATAAATTACAGAGGAAGGAAACATTCCTTATAACTTGCTTTTAAAAAAAATGTATTGCTGTTAAGATAGATATTGATGGTTTCCAGTGAAGTGCTTAACTGACATTGCTCACAGGCCAGGCAGTCTTCATGCTGGGGAACTCCAAGAATGCCCTGGACGTAGACTGCAAGATGATGAATAGACAAGTTGAAGTTGTGCAACCTTGCCTTAGCTTTCCTGGCTGTTACTTACCAGCCATACACTGATGAGATTTTTATCCTGGAGGGACAATGTCTAAATGCTAGACACTGCTAGTTTTTATTCACCAATTAAAACTTGATCATTGTTGCAGGCAGTTAGAGATACTGTCAGGGAAATGAGTTTTAGATAGTGCATGCTGTCTCTTACATTGTGATTTAACTATAAAACTGCTCTTAAACTTTTCTGAAGCTGTTTCTTTACTTACAAAATGGAAAAAGTAATATAATTTAATTGGGAGAATTAAATAAGGTACAGAAATGTACAGCAGGGTACCTACAACTTACTAAGTCCTTAATAAGTATTAATGTCACACCACCTATCTGCCCTGTCCTATAAATTATCTGTGGAGGTATTTAGGGTTTTAAAAGTTTGAAATTAAAGCTGTCTGCATAGTAATTTTTTCTTACTATTTATATGTTTTACCAAAACAACAAACAAAATCCAATGCATATTTTAAAAATATAATAAACTATATTTTAAGTTTTTGTTGAACAATTGATTTAGTTTTTCTGACTATTTCTAAGTAAGCTTAGAATAAAATTGAAATTTGGTTATACATCTAGTCCTTACTTATCGACTGTCTCATTATCTGACATTTCACGTTCACAGCCAATGTACGTCTGGTGTGATAAATGCCATAGTGCAAGGCAAGAATAACACTGGCAGTGATAGTTAAGGTTATGTGTTAGCTTGGTTGGGCCATGATTCTCAGTGGTTTGGCAATTAAGTAATGATGTAATTTGCAATTATGTAATGATACAGTCAGTCATCCTCCATTTTGTGATCTGATGTAGTCATCTTCCATTTTCATATAATTTTATAGATAGAAAAGTGCAATTCAAAGAAATAAAGCCATTAGCTTAAAATCACACTGCTAAAGTGGTAGAACTGAGATTTATACCTTAGTCTGTCTGACTTTAAAACGTTTAAGACTAGTTATTCTAAAAGGAGTAAAATGATCAAACATTTGCTGAGTGGATACAGTTTGTTCACCCACTCTCTGCAGAGATTATTTTGTTTCCAGGTTGCCAAGTCAGCATTTATCACAACAACAACAACAACAACAACAACAACAAACCAGAGGAATGCCCTAGTTCCTTGGCATGATACTGTTTTGGTGAACCTGTTGCTACTACCCTTACCTTTTGACTATCTGTGTTGTGTTTACCCCAGGAGGTCTGGGTTCTAGTACTGCTTTGGCTACTTTATTAATGAAACTATTTTGATCAGATAATTACTTTGAACCTCAATTCCTTACCTGTGAAGTTCTTCCTTAACTAATGAGCCTGAAAGTCTCATAGACTTGAATGTGTCTCATTTGGCACATTAATATTTTTCCTGATAAATTTATCCTTAAATTATGAGTTGTCTGAGGCTCATGTTATCTCTGGTTTATTATTGATATTTTAAAAAGTCTGTAGCTGGCAAGATTTTGTAAATCAGGTAGCCAAAATTTGAAAGGTATAGCTAAGAGCTGTCTGATGTAGCAAAAAAAAAAGTCTTTTTCTTTAGTTACTGCTTTCATCCATTCAGGAACATGATCCTAGAAGCACAGAGTTTGGGGGTAGTATCTTAGTTATCTAGTGCTGCTATAATAGAAATTCCACAAGCTGTTGGCTTTAACAAAGAAATATATTTTCTCACAGTTGAGAAGGCTAGAAGTTAAAATTTAGGGTGCTGGCTTTGTGGGAAGGCTTTCTGTCCCTGTCAGCTCTGGAGAAAGTCCTTGTTTCTTCTGAGCTTCTGCTCCTGGACAATCTTCATGTGGTTGGCATCTCACCCAATTCTTCTTCCTAGCTTGTTCAGTTTTT